TGGTAGATGTTCAGGAGATCAGAAACGGAAATGTTAGTCATAAACGGACCTAGTTTGTATCTTGCACGCTCAACCTAAGGATACTTCTTAATCGATTTGCTCGAACAAGCCTCGAACTTCCTCAGCAGAAAGGAGTTCTCCTTTCGAGACTCTTCTTAATGCCGCCTTCTTCTTAGGCGTCGACGACTCGCGTCTTTCAATAGACGCAAGCGGACTGCCAGTGAAAAGTTGGTACATCACGACAGCGCAAGCAAGAAAATCATCTTCACAACGTTCAGAAAACACAGCGTCGGAACATTCTCCGACAAAGCAATCATCATCATTATCATGCTGATCGCGCTGTAAAACCTGACGCCTCAAACCGGCGTGGTGGGTGCAAGCGCAAACAACTGCGCTTCCGAAATCAACTAAATGCACGTCACCAGAGTCGTTGAGAAGAATGTTCTCCAACTTGATATCATTATGGGAAATACCCCAACCATGAAGAGAATCTAAAATCGTCAATAATTGCATGATGACAGACAGAATAGTGGCATCTTCCCGAACTGTAGATCGCCGTCGGAGCCACTCGTAAAGATCTAAACCACCAAGTTCGGATACGATATAGGTCGCATCACAGTCCTCAAAAACGTCGAGGATCTTGGGCACACCATCAATGTCAAGATTCGCAATAAGTTCCATAGTTTCCGCCTCTTCTGGGCCGTGCCCTGCCATATCCGAGATACAAGGGGGGATCGTCTCATACGGGGGCTTCTCGATAATCTTCAACGCGACGGGTCTTCCAGTTTGTCGACATATTGAGCGACAAACCTGCCCGTACGCTCCTGCCGCTATGGTAGACCCGAGCTGGTAGGAAGTATCGAAGGCCGTGAGGGCGGCATCACTGACTACTCTCATAGGTGATGTTGGAGGAGTAGTGCAACATGTACTGCATGGGGAAGACTCTTCAATGGTAGTAGCGTCTCGTCGAGGTTTTAGAAAGGATAGTTGCAGTCGAGGAGTTACCGAGTCTTCTTCTTCTGAGGGTACATTGAGGGCAGCAGTCATGTTGAACGCGGAGGGGAAGGGTAGTCGAAACGACAATACTTCGACCCTCCGGGGCGCGAAAACTGAAGAGAATATTAACCGAAGTGAGAAGCAAAACTCGATGAGCGATGGATTTCCCGTTGCTGCGTTGAAGCTACTTTGAAAATCCCTTTCGGTCTCGGACACTCCGCCTTCTAAACGGCTAGCAAGGTACACACCAAAAAACTCGACAACTTACGAATCACAAACAAGATAACGTCTACTAAACTCCGTTAAACGGCTTGCTAAGGTAAGTACAAGGGAATTTCACTGCTCTACTCTGACGGCAGTCCTCTGCTAGGAGAACAAAATTCTTAGAATTCTGTAGTCCTCGAAACTTTCATGTACAACCACAAGTTTAC